AGTTTTATTAAGTAAAGACTTGTGTCGTTAAAGTTTCTTCGGAACTGAGTTACGGAAAAATCAATTAACAAACGGAGACGTAACAATGTGATTGGCACGTAGACTGGAAGTTGAATTGTTTTTACCAGATAATTTAAAATAATTGATCATCTAAAGAACAATGTTACAACAGTTGGTGTAAGAAGTGAGATACCGTTTTGTTGAAAATAAAATAGAGGTTTGAGAACAAACAGAAAGAGACTGATAATTTAAAGATCAAGAAGAAATTGATAGAAAATTAGTAGAAAGATATAGAATATTATAAGATAAAAAAAAAAAAGATCGACACAGAAAATTATAAGATCAAGAGGTAAGAGAGATGAGTCACCAGAAAGAGATGTACTTTTAAGGAATAATAAAAATAAAAATAAATCTGATTGAAGACACAATCAATGAAACTATTGGAGATGCACAAAAGTTTTCAATAACGTGACTGGAGAAATGTGGAAGTTGTAGTAACAAAATTGAAGAATTACAACAAGGCTGTGGTGACAGAAATCGACGCTGTCAAAAGAAAAGGGCAAAAGAATACGAGTGAAGTAAAGAAAGATATACATTAATGATGTAGAAAATAGTATCACTGAAGTTTAAAAAAAACATCTGGAAAATGAATTATTAAATGGGAAGAGTAAACCAACCACACTTCTTTCTGCATTAGCTCAAGTATTTCAGCAGAAAACACCATCTACTAGATATGGAAAAGAAGAACTTATTTAATCTACATCTATTACCACTACTGAAGGACCTTTCTGGTCTACTTCAACCATTAAAATACTAAATCTAGTTCCAGAAACTAGTTAGCCAGTTCATCATCGGCTGATAAAAAAAAAACAATGGACTATGATGGTAAGGTATCATGGGAGCCATACCAAGCTCAGTTTGAAATCATTTCCAGAGTGAAAGAGTGGAATAGTGAACAACAAGCCATAATCCTTGCTGCCTATTTAAAATGATCAGTTTTGACAACATTAAGTATCCTTCCAGCTGAGAGCCGTAACACCTATCATTCGTGGCCACCTTGTCTAATAGGCTTGAAGTGTCGCACCCATAAAACAACTCAGAAAAGTTTTCCAGAATATAATATGGAGGAGAGAAGAGACCTTAACCGAACTTTCAGAATATTTGGAAAGCTAGCTCAATTACCTTACCCAGATGCTGATTGTGAAATGATGGATTCGTTGGCATGTGACCTATTTATAGACACCATAACAGATGAGGATATGAGAATTAGGTTGAAGCAAAGTAGGTGTACCTCATTAAAGGAAGCTTTGCAGCTATTGATGGGACTAGAATCCAATAAAGTTGTAGATAAACGACTAAAGACACCATCTGGAAGTTATAGGATCATCAGATAGAGTAGTGTTGAAACATCAACTCCTGCTTATTATAGTT